TATATATATATATATATATATATATATATATTTATTTTTTTTTTTTGAGATAGGGTCTGACTAACTTATCCAAGCTGCCCTCGAACTCGTGGTCCTCCTTACTCAGCCTTTAGAGTAGTTGGGATTAAAGGCATCTTTGATGTGACTGTGTGTGTGTACACCAAACAAACAAGTTTAAATATGAAACGCTTCATGAATTTACGTGTCATCCTTGCGCAGGGGCCATGTTAATCTTCTCCATATTGTTCCAATTTTAGTATATGTGCTGCCAGAGCAAGTACCTGTCTTTTTTTTTTTTTTTTTAATATTTTTTGAGTTGTAGATGGATACGATATCTCCATTTTATTTATTTATTTTTATGTGATGAAGATTGAACCCATGCCTCACATGTGCTAGGCAAGCGCTTTACCACTGAGCTACAAACCCAGCCCCAACCCTTCTTTTTTTTTTTTTTTTTTAAGTATTTTTTAGTTGTAGATGGACACAATACCTTTATTTATCTTTATGTGGTGCTGAGGCTTGAACCCAGGGCCTCACACATGCTAGGCGAGCGCTCTACCACTGGGCCACAACCCCAGCCCCTCTTTTTTTTTTTTTTAACAGTCCTGAAGATCATGTCAAGTTCAGTGTGTTTGACTTACAATATTTTCAATTTATGAGGATTTTATCAAATTGGAAACCCATTGTAAGCTGAGTAGCATCTGTATCTTAACCAGGGTAATTTATACACAGCATAAATTTATTGCTCATAATTCTGGAGGCTGGGAAGTCCAAGGTCAAAGTGCAAGTAGATTTATTGTCTGATGAGGGCTCCCTCTCTGCTTCAAAGATGGCACCTTGCCAGACATGGTGGCACATTCCTATAATCCCAGCAGGAGGATCAAAGTTTGAGGCCAATGGCTGGGGATGTGGCTCAGTGGTGAAGCACCCCTAGGTCCAATCCCCAGTACCAAAAAAGAAAAGAAAGGCACCTAGTTGCTGTGTCCTCAAAGCAAAGGTCTTCCTCAAGCCTTTTTTTTTTTTGGGGGGGGGGTACTGGATATTGAAGGGCACTTTAACCATTTAACACCCCTGCCCTTTTTATTCTTTTTACTTAAATACTTTTTTCAGTTATAGATGGACACAATATCTTTATTTTTATTTATTTATTTATTTAGGTGCTGAGGATCCAACCCAGGACCTCATGCATGCGCGGCAAGCGCTCTACCACAGAACTACGACCCTAGCCCCCTCTCCCCGTCCCCTTTTCCTTTTTGTATTTTGAGACAGGGTCCCACCAAGCTGCCAAGGCTGGCCTCAAACTTGTGATCCTCCTGCCTCAGCTTCCTGAGTCACTGGGGTTACAGTGTGTGCCACAACCCCTCACTCTTTTTTCTTCTCTTTTCCTCAGGATTGACTGGCAGTGTAGCTTATTGTCACTGCCTCATCCCTTTGAGAGGATTGGACCACCTATCACCCATTCAGGAAAAATTCCAATTGTAAAATTAAAAAAACATTCAGTATCTATGAATGTATATCACTTTTGCACCATCATAAATTTGAAACATCATAAGTTGAATCATTGTAAGTTGGAAATTTTCTGTATTTTGTTTTAGAGCAGCCCAGATGAAATAAGATGCCAATCAACAGACTCCCCACCAGAATTTAGTTAGTACTAGTATCTCTCTTTTACTGATGGGCAAAGAAAGAAAGAAGCTGGAGGACAGTGTAGTTATGGACCTTGCTATTCACACCCTGTCCCCTTCTAGAGGTCACTGGCTCCTCCCCTCATACCTACACTTACCCAGCATCTCAGACAGTAAACCAACACTCAGGAAGGTGAGGAGATGAAGAAAGACAAGTCCGGCCTAATGCCAGACTGTCCTGAAGGTTTAGTTACCAAGCATCCCATCTTCCCTCCTGACCACCCTGAGTTGTTTTTCTGATACTTTAAAAATGAACAGCCTGGCTGGGCATGGTGGTGCAAGCCTGTAATCCCAGTGGCTTGGGAGGTTGAGGCAGGAGGATCAAAGCCAACCTCAGCAAAATCGAGGCACTAAGCAACTCACTGAAGACTCTGTCTCTAAATAAAATATAAAATGGGGCTGGGGATATATATAGCTCAGTACCCCTGAGTTCAATCCCTGGTACCAAAAAAAGAACAGCCTAGGCTGGGGTTGTGGCTCAGTGGTGGAGCTCTTGCCTAGCACTTGTGAGGCACTGGGTTGGATCCTCAGCATCACATATAAATAAGTGAATAAAATAAGGGTATTGTGTCCACCTACAACCAAAAATATTTTTTAAAAAATGAACAGCCTGATTCATACAAATGAATTTGAGGACATGCAATTACAGGCAGGAAGAGCAGGAAGAACAAAAGCTTTTAGGGGCCCAGAAAGAGAATTATTTCTGGTGTGAAAAATCAAGTTGTTTTGTAAAAAAAAAAAAAAAAAAAAAAATCCCTCCAAAGGAGTGAAGGCCAAACTCCAGAGAGGCCATGAGAGTATCTGCCCCAGAAGCTTGTGAGAAACGTGGCCTTGACCTCGCCTTCCTCCCCCAGCTCACATCATTCCACGAAATTGCACTCTAGTGACCTTTGCTGGTGAGCTCTCCAGTTCCTGCCAAAACACTGCCAAGATCCAAGATTTCCACGGAAACTATTTATTTACTCAGGCCAGGAATCAGCGTTCGTCTTGGGAGAAGGTGACTCCAATGATCTTCCTCACCTCCTGGAGGATCTCAGCCAGCAGCTCACTTTCTGCCAGAGGAATGATAGGACTTTCCTTGAGGCCTGAGGAGAGAAGGCAGTTAGGGACCCTCCAAGTCAAACACCACAACCAAAAAGAAAACAAAAACAAAAAACGATCATTCCCAGAATCCCCAAGGCACAGGCATGGTTTAGAGAGGTGGGTGCCCCGGGGCATCCTGGGAAATGTAGTTCCAAACCGGCCACTAGAGCATCAGAAGGTGGGTGGAGAGGGCCCAACCCCTTCCAGGCCTGACCCCTGCGGTGGCCTCCGCATTCTTACCTTTGCGCAGGCACTCGCGGACGTGAATGGCCTCGTACCTCATGCCTGACCCATTTTTAAAATTATACTTCTTTGGGACTTGGGGCAGCGGGAACTCCTTATGCTCATCATTCACCACCAACTTTGTTGGGCACCAGGATGGGAAAACCTGGGGGAAGATAGAAAATGGCTTGCCATCCTCTCCAACTGGGCTTCTAGGGACTTTCACCCTAGAGCATGCCAGGTGAGGCTCGGGGGCCTCCCTAAGGGCCCTGGTGACTGAGGGCATGCCCCCCCTTCCTGGTTGCCAGAGGTTTGTTCCTTAGGGGTGCCACTGTCACACTAGAATTTTGTTGTCTCCCCAACAACAAACTTCTGTGCTTGCGGACGGGTGCTCCTTATGAAGCCAGATTTAAAGATAGATAGTATAGTTAGGTAAATGGGGTCTAACATCGAGTAGGATAAACAAAATGGAGGCCATTATAGAGAATGGAGCCCAGGAAAACAGAGCAGCACTTGGGGAAATCGAAATGTTAATGTTCCCAAGGCCAAGAGCCCATCCTAAGGAAATGTTAATGAAGCAGCTCCCAGCAAACAAGGAGGTGCTAATCAAAAGCCGCCCCAGGCCCTTCCTGCCCAGATTACTCCTCCAGCCCTTTTGTCCCACACCTTTTGGGCCTTCCCACCTACATTTCAACACTGCATGATAACAGAACAAAGGACAGATATGCATGCCACAGGGGAGAAGTCTTTTTTGCTGTCCTTAATAAAGCTTCTACTTTCCACTTGCCTCGCTGTGCTTCTCTGGTGTTATGCTTCAGCATTGGGGAAGCAAGGACTCGCCACTGGTAAACAGCGGGTAACACTTAGGCCCAGTGAAGATGGCTTATCTTCATATCTTTGTGAATCCCCTTAGCAGAAAGGGTGGTCAGACCATCCAGCACCTTCTCATTGACCAAGAGATCTCCTTTTTTTTTTTTTTTTTTTACTTCAGAGCCCTGGGAAGTTAAATGGTTTCCAACCCGTTTCTAGCCCAAAATGAAAATACAGAGGCGTGGTTGAGGCCCCTCAGAAACACAGGACAAGGGTCAAGTTCTGGTCTGGCTTCTACAAATGGGATTTCTTTTCCTTTTTCTTCCTCCCCTTTCCTTTCCCTTCCTCCCTTTCCCACCTTATCTTCCTTCCTCCCTCCTCCCCTCTCTCCCTTCCTCTCTTCCCAGTGCTAGGGCTTCAACACAGGGCCTCCAGCAAGCTGGGTAAGCACTCTACCACACACACACATCCCCAGCCCAAGAACAGGAGATTTTTCTGCAAGGAAACCCAGTGAAGTTGACCTTTGAAAACACCCAGATCCTGCCCTGGAAGCAATTCCAATCAACTATCCTCTAAATATGGTTGATAAGAACTGGTTTCTTGCTGGGTGTGGTGGCACAACACTGTAATACCAGCAACTAGGGAGGCTGAAGCAGGAGGACTGCCAAGTTCAAGACTGATCTCTGCAGGGTCTCTCTCTCTCTCTTTTAATATTTATTTTTTAGTTTTAGGTGGACATAATATCTTTATTTTGTTTTTATGTGGTGCTGAGAATCGAACCCAGTGCCTCATGCATGCTAGGCAAGCACGCTACCACTTGAGCCACATCCCCAGCCCCTCTCTCTCTTTTTTTAAAAAAATATTCTTTTAATTGTAGATGGACACGATACCTTTATTTTAATTACTTATTTTTATGTGGTGCTGAGGATTGAACCCAGTGCCTCACTTGTTCAAGGCAAACACTCTGCCACTAAGCCACAACCCAGCCCAGCAGGGTCTCTCTTTAGTGAGAGAAACAAAAAGGGCTGGGGTTGAGACCCTGTCTCAAAAACAAACCAAACTGGGGATATAGCTCCGTGAAAAAGTGCCCTGGGTTCAACCCCCAGTACCTAAAACAAAGTGATTTTTGGAGCTGGGTGTGGCTCAGTGGTAGAGCTCTTGCTTAGCATGTGTCAGGCCCTGGGTTCTTAGGACTAAGAACACTTGACCCTCCAATAGGTTCACCTTCTGGAAAGACCTGATTGGCTCAAACCCCATCCTTTGGCTTGGTTGTCAAGGAGGATGGGTTCCTTAGAAACGCGGTGAAAAATGGCTGGTTCAACTCCAGTTCCCCAGTTGCCCTTCCCGTCCTGAGGGCCCAATTGCCAGTGCTCAGGCCTGTTGGACCTCACCTGGGCCATGCCCTTGGTACCGTTCACGGAGGCCACGTTGGAGAGATCTGTGCTGATGCTACAGGTGAAGCTGCCATGGACCCCTCCTGGGTACTGAAGTAGCACTGAGACAGTGTCGTCCACACCTGGAAAGAAGTCACAGGGCTGAGTCTGGGGGGGGGGGGGGGGGGGGTAAGACTGCATGGGCCTCCGATTCTGCTCGTGGAAACTTGGCCCAGAGACCTTGCTTCTTATTCAGCAGTGAACAAGAATGAAGTATGAAAATATAGATGACCTTCAAAAATACTATGCTGAAAGAACCAGACACAAAATTCACATGTCGTGTGATTCCATTCACAAGATATGTCCCCAGTTGGCAAATCTGAAGATCTAGAAAGTAGAGTAGTGATCATTTATGGCTGGGGGAGGGAGGGAAGAACTGAGGAGGTACATTCAAGGGCTTGGGAAGGGTTGTGGGTTTCTTTGTTTTGTTTTTGGTACCAGGGATTGAATTCAGAAGTGCTTAACTACATCTCCAGCCCTTTTTATTTTTTTATTTTGAGAACGGATCTCACTATGTTGTGTAGGGCCTCACTAAGTTGCTAAGGCTGGTTTCAAACTTTCGATCTTCCTGCCTCTGCCTCCTGAGCCACTGGGATTACAGGCATGCACCACCACAAAGAGCTTTAATTCTATTTTTTTTTTTTACAGTACCTTTATTTTATTTATTTAGTTTTATGTGAGGATGGAACCCAGTGCCTCACATGTGGTGGTCAAGCTCTTTACCACTGAGTCACAACCCCAGTTCTAATTCTATCTTGAGACAGCATTCACTAAGATTCCAGGCTGGCTTCCAACTGGCAATCCTCCTGCCTTGGCCTCATGAGTAGCTTGGATTAGAAGTGTGGACCACCACCACCTAGCTAATTTTTTTTTTTTTTTTCTGTATTGGGGATTGAACTCAGGGCCCAATGCATGCCAACAAGCACTTTGCCACTGAGCTACATCTCTGGCCCTGAAATTATTTTTATTCTGTTTGTGTGTTTTCCCTATTTCTTGTTTGTTCTTTCATTCAGTGATTGCTATTGGAAGTCACTGTTTTGGAGCAGTTCTTTTTGCAGCAAGGACTTGCTGAGACAACTTCAAAAAATAATCACCATTTATATTTCTTCTTTCCTTCTTTTTAGTACTGGGGATTGAACCCAGGGGCACTTTACCACTGAGATATATTCCAGTACTTTTTATTTTTTTTATTATTTAAAAAATTTTTTTTAATTATTGAGACACATACCTTTATTTCATTTTTTAATTTTTATGTGGTGCTCAGGATTGAACCCAGTGCCTCACATGTGCTAGGCAAGTGCTCTACCACTTAGCTACAATTCCAGCCCTTTATTTTTTATTTCGAAACAGAATCTCACTAAGTTGCTGAGGCTGGTCTTGAACTTGGGATCCTCCCGCCTCACCCTCCTGAGCTGTTGTCTTTACAGGTGGGTGCTACCACATCTGGCCCGTGGTTTATATTTCTTAACTGCTGACCATTTGCTGCAACAGTTACTTCATCAATTTCCACAATAACCCTATGATTGACACTTTACCAGTCAAATAATTAAGACTCAGAGACATTGAGGCACTTGTCCAAAATCACACAGTAAAGTCCCCAGTACAGAGCTCACCTGCTTCTCAACACTGATTTTCCCTGACTACACATGGGAAGGTCATCCAGATGATTCTCATGGCCTGGGAGACTTGTTCCCCGCTGGGGACTGCAGGGAGAAAGGTTCACTCCCACCGCCCATCATCAAGGAGTCTAGCGTGGACAATACCTGTTTCATGGAGCTTTCCGACTGCTGAAATCTTCTCTGGCTTCTGCCCCCCGAAGACCATGGAAATGAACTGGGAGCAGTAGATTCCGAGGTCCAGCAACCCGCCACCTGCCTGGGCCCAGTCTGTGGACCTGGGTATTTGGATGAGGTTTTTCCCGAATTCTATCCGAACCACTCGAAGGTCCCCTACAGTTCCCTGAGCCAAAACAGACCTCAGAGCTTCTGTGGCAGGAAAAAAACGGGTCCAGATGGCCTGCAGATGACAGAAGGGAAATGGCAGGGCACAGGAAAGGAAGGAGTGGGGTCAACGCCCAGGAGTCGACTACCCAGTTCTTTTCCCTCCTGGGCTCCAGTCTGGAGGAGGAACCCACTGCTCCCAGACTCCAAAATAGGGATCCCTTCCCTCCAAACCTGCCTCTGTCTGTCCTTGTTCTTCCTCTCAGGGACCATCATCCCTGTGGAATTGTGTCCCCTGCCCTGTTCATGTATTGAATTCTCAACTCCCCAGAACCTCTGAGATGGATTGTATATTGGGGATAGAGTTTGTTTGTTTTTGTGGTGCTGGGGATCGAACTCAGGGCCTTGTGCATGCAAGGCAAACACTCTACCAACTGAGCTATATCTCAACCCCTTGTTTGTTGTTTTTGAGATGGGGCCTCCCTGTATTGCTCAGACTGGTCTCAGACTCCTGGCCTCAAGCCATCCTCCCACCTCAGCCTCCTGTGTAGCTGGGACTGTGGAAGCACAAACCTCTGGGTTTTTAGAGTGATATCTACATTAACATGAAGTCATTAGGGTGGATCATAATCAATATGATGGGTGTCCTTACGAGAAGAGGAAATGAAGACAGATATACACAGAAGGAAGACCATGTGAAGACAGGAGAAGCTGCCATCTGTAGGCCAAGGACAGAGACCTGGGAAGAAACTGATCCCGCCTAAACTTTGATCTCAGACTTTCGGCCTCTGGAATTGTGAGAAATACATTTCTGTTGTTTAAACAACCTCGTTCATGGTAGTTGGGTATGACAGCCCCAGCAAACTAATAAATATACTCAGTCTGTCCCTGATGCTGGTTCACCCTCCATATGGCCCCGAGGCAGCCAGGGCCCCACCCCCTTAAAAAACAGGACCCCTTAAACTTAAGGAAGGAAATTCTCTCAGGAGAGATGGAGACAGCCAGATTAGATCCAGCTTAAGGGGTTAACAGACACCAGAAAATTAGGAGTTAAGAAGTGCACCAGTCTTCAAGCCTGTGGATAACAGCATCAGGAAATAGAGAATGGGAAGTCAGTTCCGCCTTCTGAGACCACGCAGTCATCAGTGACACCAAGAGGCCTAGCCAAGAAAGACAGATCACTAAAATCAAACCCACTGAGACAGGACAACAGTCTGCCCTGTTCTGAACATAATGTCAGGGACTCTTCCAGATGACAAGGGGCAAATTCCAGGTGGTAAGGGGCAAACACATGCATAGAACAGTCACTAACGTCACCTACAGTCACTTTTACTTCAGCAGCATAATGAAAATCACACCCCAAGATGGCGATTGAAGGTGGTAATGAGACATGGGCAGCGTGAAGAAGCTTGGCAAAGAAGAGCGTGCTGCCATAAAAACCCTGCCTCCACCTGCCGTGACGTCAAGAGACCAGGGCCCATGCCACGCATGGTGGTGCACGCCTTCAATACTAGTGACTCGGGAGGCTGAGGCAGGAGGATTGCAAATTTGAGGCAGCCTCAGCAACTTAGCAAGACCCTGTCTCAAAATATAAAATAAGGGCTGTGGCTGTGGCTCAGTGGCAGAGCACTTGCCTCGCACATGTGAGGCACTGGGTTCCATCCTCAGCACCACATAAAAATAAAAAGATATTGTGTTCATTTACAACTAAAAAAATATTTTAAAAATATATATAAAATAAAAGGGGCTGGGTATGTGGCTCAGTGGTAGAGCACCCCTGGGATCAATCCCTAGTCCGACGAAAATTTTAAATAAATATTATTTATTATTATAATATTTTTTTTAAAGAATAAAGAGCGGGCTGGGGATGTGGCTCAAGCGGTAGCGCGCTCGCCTGGCATGCGTGCTGCTTGGGTTCGATCCTCTCAGCACCACATACAAACAAAGATGTTGTGTCTGCCGAAAACTAAAAAATAAATATTAAAATTCTCTCTCTCTCTCTCTCTTTAAAAAAAAAAAAAAGAATAAAGAGCTTTGTTCCTATCCTAGTTGTGCCCTCCTCTGATTCTTCTTACGGAAAGCACAAGAATCCACTAACTTGGTGACAGACCCAGAGGGATCTTTTCTTCTCTAAGAGCTGACTCTGTCTTAACCCTCCCTGCTCAGTACCCTTCTATGGTTGTCCACTGCCCAATGGCGGTTCCCATTAATTTAGAGCATTTTATAGGAAAGATATTCTATACATGCTTTGCATTATAAACCCTCCCAGCATTCCTGCTAGGTGGTTAACATTGTGTCCATTGCATTGACAAGAGAAAATTGAGGCTCTCAGGTCATCCTTTGCTTTAGATCACACAGTAACTACAGATTTGGTGTTGTTAGGAACCATAATACTCCCCAGCACTGAAACAACTTCTGGGTGCTAATGGCACTGCTGGTACTGCCCACTGCCACTTAGCAACCATCTTAATTCCTGGCACTCTCTTGGACCCTTTGGATAGATAAATCTAATAAGAGCAAAGCAATGACAGAATGACAGAAGGGAAATGGCAGGGCACAGGAAAGGAAGGAGTGGGGTCAAGGCCCAGGAGTCAACTACCCAGTTCTTTTCCCTCCTGGGCTCCAGTCTGGAGGAGGAACCCACTGCTCCAGACTGGAGCCCATCTCACCTTGATCCCTGGAAATCCACCAAAACTAAACCCTTTTTGAAAGACTGAAAAATGATTCACACAATCTAAGCAAGTCCTGCCATATCTGCTAAGGGCCGGAAGCTGTGGCTCTCCCAGGGATAGATGTTGCCAGTAGATTAAACTACAACCTGGTAAACGCACTGACCTGGCTCCATTTTTGTGACCGTCTTGACTGTTGGCAAACTCTTTCCTGTGTTCTTCCAAAAATGCCTACTTTCAACCACAGACATGTCTAGCGTCAGCAAGCAGCCCCTATCATGCTGCAGTCTGGCTGCAGCAAAATAACTGGGGGGTGACGAATAACTTGTGTACGTTGATACAGTAGGAGTGGGAACCGTTTATTGCAGGACAGGAGCAGTATTTATACATTCCACATAGCTTATCTAATTAGCATAAACTAGATACATCAGTCAACCAATAAGGAATCTCCACACTTAATGGCTTTTGTTACTTCTCAAATCACTCCCTCTGGCATTTTGCTAGGCACCATCCAGACTTGTTTATGAACTTTAATATTCCCCTGGCAAAATGCCAGGTGTTATTTTGACTTGTTTGCAGACTCTAACATTATCAGATGTTGACAGGGCCCCTCCACCCTCACCTCCATCAGGAACAGGCCCCGTGAGCGGGCCTCCGCCACCATCTCCCGAACTTCCGCAGGGTTCACACCCATGGGCTTCTCGCACAGGACCGCTTTGCCGGCTCTCAGGCACAGCAACACCGCGGCCTTGTGCTGGGGATGCTGGGTGCCAATATAGGCCACTTCTAGGGTGAAAGGAAGGATATCGTTTAAGAGGTCAGCAGCCCAGCCCACTCCATCCCTGAGGGGCCCTCCCACAATTTAGAGGTCCCACCGGAGGTCCCAGGAACAAAGTGGACTCTCATCGTTGTCTCCCATTAGGAAGCAACTAAACAAATGCTGTCGCCTCTAACCATTCTCTACCAGCAATCTATTTTCAGCCTTCTGAAATGATGGTAAGAAATCGCGAGTTCAAAGCCAGCCTCAATAACTTAGCGAGGCGCTAGGCAACTCAGTGAGACCCTGTCTCTAAATAAAATACAAAAATGGGCTGGGAATGTGGCTCAGTGGTAAGTGCCCTAGTTCAATCCCCAGTATCAAAAAAGAAAGAAAGAAGGTGGAAAAAAAAGAAACAAAGAAAAAAAAAAAAGAAATTGCTGCGTCCTCAGCACGCCAGCAGGAGGTAGATATTATTAATTTTGCTCGATTTGTAACTGCGTAAACTGAGAAAGGTAAGCATAACCGGAAAAACGAGAATTCTGGCAACCTGACTCCAGAGCCAGGCTGCATCCACTATGAGATCTCGCCTTTTGATCCAGAACATTGGACACCCTGATCACAGGGTCCTGCTCCTCTGCCCCCCGCTCCCGCCACCTTTTTATTTTGAAGAGATGGGGGTCCGGCCCAGGCTGATCTCAAACTCCTGGGATCAAGCAATTCTTCTGCCTCAGCCTTCTGAGGAGCTGGGACTGCAGGTGCGTGACTCGTAGGGTCTATTTAAGCTTTCGCCACTCACCCACATTCGGGTCCTTCGCCAATTCTTCATAGGAGCCATAGGCCTTGGGGATGTCGTGTTTCAGTGCAAACTCTTTCGCCCGGCTCAGGTCGCGGGCAGCCACCGCCACCACCTGGAAGGGTGCCAGGGTCAGACTGCAGGGGTGGAAGAGGCGAGGAAGACGGGTGACAGAGGAAACGCCGGGTTGGGAGAGATGACTTCCTCCAAGAGATGCAGTCGTGGGGAAGGATGTGACGGGGGCTGGACCCTTGGGTCCTGGGAAAGAGAGCTCTTGGGAAAACAGTAGCTTCTCTTAGCGGTATTTCAGATCAAGACCCTCCCAAACCTCAAGCACCTGGGGGGGGGGGGGGGGTCACAAGACAGAGGTGGAGAAGGAGCCAGCAGATGAGCAGCGGTAGTTGACGCCTCGGGAACTCAGAAACCTGGGATCCTTCCTCCCCTCTCAGCCCCTGGAGTCCGCCCTTCCTCGTCGCCTCTTTCCCAGGACTCCGCGGGGAGGCAGACCTGGTGCTCGGAGCGAGGCAGTGCGCACAGCGTGGTCGTGAAGTCGTTGGAAATAAGGCCGGCGGACACAATGCCCCAACGCAGCGCCATCCTTCACGTCTCCGGGTCGCGCAATCCTGGGGGCTGCGGGCCGCTCCCGCGGGTGTTGAAGGACGGAGGCTCCGCCCACCAGGGGGCGAGTCTCTGCCGACCTCCCCCTTAGCTCCAACGCGGCTTCTCATTGGCCTCAAGTCCCAAAGCGAAAGGGCCGGGCATTTGGATCTAGCGTCCCATTGGAAGAGCGCTTTATGTTCTGTGTCCAAATTGCCGCTTCAAAGTCTTGCGCTCTGGATTTTAATGCCTCTGGACTTTATTGCGCTCTGGACTTTGTCGCGACCTTGCCTCCTTTACTGCTTTTGTGTGTTTGTGCGCGCGGAGCTGGGGATGCGACCCAAGCGTTCCACGGCTGGAGAGAGAGAGAGAGAGAGAGAGAGAGAGAGAGAGAGAGAGAGAGAGAGAGAAGAGGAATAGTGATTTCTAGATCTGGAGAGCCCTCCGTAGGCAGGCCGCCGGCATTGCTTTCCTTCCTCATCCTAATTTCTCACCACAGACCTGGGAACTGTTGCCTCCGGTTCACAGTCTCCGGGGCAAACAGACCCAGAGAGCCCAGAAAGCCCTGGTAAGTTTTTTGCGGGTTTCACAGCAGGAGGGGGAGACCTGCTAACTGGCTGCCTCCAGAGGGCCGCATAGGGTCTATTTAAGCTCTCGCCACTCACCCACATTCGGGTCCTTCGCCAACCTGGTTTAGAAACCAGGCTGTTCTCCTCCTCGTCCTCCTGGGCCGAGGTTTGAAGTCCGGGCCTTGTGTATGCTAGGCAAGCGTTCTACCCTTGGGCCACCCCATCCCCACCCCAGCCCAGTGGTGCCAGGGCAGTGGAGTAGGTTTTGGAGAAATCAAAGAAAGTAACTGCAGACAGCTCGGGAGAAGAGTCCTGGAGTACTGGGGCAAGTCTGGAAGAGATGAGCGGCTGCTCCGAGAAGAGTCCAGTGGGGACAGGCCGACAGTGGTGTTTTGTCCAGTGGCGGCAGGATGGAGGAGGTGACATGTGCTTTCCACAACTACCCTCAATAACGTGTCTATCCTCAGAGAGGGAAAGTGTGTGTGTTTGTGTGTGTGTGTGTGTGTATTAGAATATATTTATTAGAATATATATATTCTATTAGTTATACATGACAGCAGAATGCATTTTGACACATCATACATAAATGGAATATAACTTCTCTTTCCTCTGGTTGTACATGATGTAGAATTACACAGGTCATGTAATCATATATGCACATAGGATAATGATGTCTGATTCATTCTACTATCATTCCTACCTCCATGCCCCCTCCTCTCCCCTCACTCCCCTCTGTTCAATCCAAAGTACCTCCATTCCCACGTTCCCTATTGTGAATTAGCAACGAATATGAGAGAAAACATTTGACCTTTGGTTCTTTGGGATTAGCTTGTTTGGCTCAGCATGATATTCTCCAGTTCCTGCCATTTACCTGCAAATGCCACAATTTCATTCTTCTTTTAAGGCTGAGTAATATTCCATTGTGTATATACACCTTATCCATTCATTTGTTGAAGGGCATCTAGGTTGGTTTCATAGTTTAACTATTGTGAATTGAGCTGCTATAAATATTGATGTGCCTGTGTCACTATAGTATACTGATTTTAAGTCCTTTGGTATAAACCTAGGAGTGGGGTGACTGGGTCAAATGGCAGTTCCATTTCAAGTTTTCCTAGGAATCTCAGAGAGGGGTTTTACACCTGAGGCTGCAGAAGCAGTGACATATCAGCATCAGCTTATTTAGTTTGTTTGTGTGACCAGCATCCCAAGGAGCAACGGTCCCAGTGTACAGGCAAGAAAGTAACTTTCTTCAGATAACACTGACTTGCCCTAGTTTCCAGGGTGCACAAGAGAAAGTCATGGTCTCCCTTCTAGATAGCATGTATCTGGACTTTCCCACCCAGGCTTGCTCTCATTGTTTCCTTAACTTGGCTGTTTTGGGAACAGAAAGGGGGTGTTCAGGACATGGTGTTTTACTGTCTCCCTTTTCTTTAGGAATGATACATTTTCAATGCTTTTTTTCCCCACAAATGATATTTTAAACTTATGATGGGCTCCTATGGATGTAACCTCATTGTAAGTCAAAGAGCATTTATACTTAGATAAATAATGACTTAATTAGAACTTGAATTGACTGTGTTGGGCTGGGTTATTTTACAGTAGCAAACAGTTCCTCAATCTCATGGATTATTTTTTACCCAAGGCTGCACGCCCAGGTAAGGCAGCCGGGCTCTGTCAGCAAAGGGACTCAGGTATGCAGGCTGCCACGTGCTCTGCTAATCTGTCACAAGGAAAAATTGTGGCCAACATATGCTGGATCTAAAAACTTTGGGCCCCAAGAAAACTTTAGGCTCATTATTTTTTTTTCCCAGTATGAAGATTGAACCCAGGAAAGTTCTACCACTGAGTTATGTCCCCAGCCCTTTTTATTTTATTTAGAGATTGGCTCTTCCAAGTTGCCCAGGCTGACCTCAAACTTGTGATCCTCCTGCCTCAGCCTCCCAAATATTTAGGATTAAAGGCATATACCTGCACCTGGCGAGAATGGGACTATTACCAGACACATTATGGTAATGGATGTGGGTGGGCACTAGAAAATTATGATTTTAAAATAATTTTTTAAAAAGGTGGTGGGTGGGGGCTAGGGCGGTGGTTCAGCGGCAGCGCACTTGCCTGGCATGTGTGAGGCAGTGGGTTTGATTCTCGGCACCGCCTATGAACAAATACATAAAATAAAGATGTATCAACAATTTAAAAAAAAAAAAGGTGGTGGGTGAGCGTGATGGAAGATGGGGCCAAAAAGTAGAGGGGAGACATCATGCAGTGGTGGGAGGATGCTCAGTGGGGGGCAGTGGGGACAAGCAGCTCCATTAACATCACTCATATTCATTTTGTAAACATTTGATGCTGGACTTGGCCCCAAACCGGGGGACACTGGGGATCCAGGGTGAGAGGATGCAGAGGCAGCCACGCACAGAGCCAGCCCAGGATGGTGGCTGTCACTGAAGAGAACCCAGGCATGGTGGAAGCCCCAGAGGTGAGGAGGGAGCTACACCAGCCTGAAGTGTGGGCAGGGGCTCCATTTGTGTCACAGAGTGACACATTTAGATATGGACCTGTCTTGTTTTGTCCCTCCTCCAGCAGGATTCAGGCCCGGTGAGGGCAGAATCTGGTTTGTTCAGTGCTGTGTCCCAGACAGTGCCTGGTTCATCCTGAGGGTTCCATGAATGGATGGATGGATGGATGGAGGGAGGGAGGGAGGGATGGATGGAGGGATGGGGTCCTTCCCAGAGTTTCCTGTAGAGAGTGCAGATGATTCTCCTTCACAATGCAGGGGCAAGCATGACCCTCACATCCTTCCCTCCCCTTTTCTTCCTCTCTGTTTTATTTTTTCTTATTATTTATTTACTTATTTTTGGTACCAGGGATTGAATTCAGAGGTGCTTAACCACTGAGCCACATCACCAGCCCTTTATTGCTTTTTTATTTTTTGAAACAGCATCTGGCTAAGTTATGAAGGGCCTCATTAAGTTGTTGAGGCTGGGTTTGAAGTTACAGTCCTCCTGCCTCAGCCTCCACAGTTGCTGGGATTACACGACATGCACCACCATGCCCATCTCTTTTTCTAAAACCCTTTTCCAATTATCCTGGATTACCTGCCAGGCTCAGTGTAGTTACAGGAGTTCTTGTGGGTAGTCAAGAGGGTCAGAGAAGAAGGGGGGGGGTAGTCCCAGTGCACACTGGGCGTGGTGGTGCATGCCTGATCTGTAATCACAGATACTGGACTTGAGAGGCTGAGGCAGGAGGATCACAAGTTCTAGGCCAGCCTCAGCAATTTAGGAAAACACGGACCTTGGCTGTAACCCAGCGGCAGAGTGCTTGCCTTGATTGAGTGAGGCAACTCAGTCCCCACTGCCGAAAAAAAAAAGAATGTCCACACAGAAACTGCCAACCATGTAGAGGGCAGGCAGCAGGGCCTGGCATAGATCATAGATCATCACCTTTACTCATTAACTCATTTGTTTGCCAGAATTCTTGGAATGCAAATTCAGTGCCAAAAAAGAACACTGCGTAATGCTTGAGGGCTTTGGGTCCAGCCTGCCTGGGTTCTAATGGGCTCTGTCTCTTACTAGCTGTGGGGCCTTGAGGGCAAGAGCCTCAGCTTCCCTTATTTACTTTATCTGCAAAATGGGGTCAGCGATGCGTTGTTGTGGGTCTGGGGTTGTGGCTTAGTGGCAGAGAGCTTGCCTAGCACATGGGGGGCACTGGGTTCAAACCTCAACACCACACACACACACACACACAAAATGCACAAATCAAATAAAAATTTAAGATCATGGGTTGTTGTGAACATGAAATAATGTGTAATGTGCTGGGGACAGCACCTGCCACCTCCCAAGTGCTGTGGAAGTGTGAGCTGCTGCTAGATGTCAGTGTGTATTCATCTACTGCTGCTATGACGAATGATGACCCTCCTGGTAGGAGTAGTAGTCACATTAAGAGAATTCTGAAGCTGGGCACAATGGCGCATGCATCTAATCCCAGCTTGGGAGGCTGAGACAGAGGGATTGAAAGTTTAAAGCCAGGACCTAAGCAACTCAGCAAGACCCTGTCTCTAAATAAAATATTAGGTAAAGAGTCCCTGGGTTCAATTCCTAGTGAGAGAGAGAGAGAGAGAAAGGAGGATGTCACGAGCCGTCCATGGGCTGTGTGTGTGAACTCTTGTGCACAGTAGCCAAGTGAGGGGAAAGGCCAGGCTCTGCAGACTCCCTGTCAGGGAGAGATGGCCTGATGCAGGTACACCTGCCTCCCCCAGCTCTGCCTGAGATCCCACACAGCACTTGAGATGGGTGTGACTTGCCAAGATGTCAGTCAATCTGCTGACTCCACCCTTATCCTTCTCTGATGTCCCCGCTATTAAATAAAGGACACTTGGGCTCAGGCTCTCTTTTTTCCAGCGCCCTCTTCCCAGCATGGAAGCTGATCTTTAAGGTCAAAGAGCCGTCCTGCCCCCCATTATAAAATTATGTGTGTGT